AAGTGAGTGCAATAGCTTCAAAAGCAGACTCACCAACAGGAGCAGGACCACGAGGTGTACTGGTTCCTTGAGGAACAAAGGGAAGCCGAAAGGATTCTGTTCAGAGAAAGCAAATTTGCTTCAGAGATGGCAAATTTTAAAAAGCATAGAAAAGCAGGGAAAAGAAAAGGTTATGATAGAAAGGCTATATCAGTCCCAGAGATAGTATAGGTTCTGTAGGGAGACGCACCGGAGGATACGTCGCTTGCAGACACAGTGTGGGTTCTGTAGGGTGACACACTGGAGGGCACATCACTGCCAGACACAGTATAGGTTTTGTAGGGTGTCACAGTGGAGGGTACATCATTGCCAGATACAGTATAGGTCCTGTAGGGTTTCATACTGGAGGGTACATCACTTTCAGACACAGTGTGGGTTCTGTAGGGTGACACACTGGAGGGTACATCACTTTCAGACACAGTATAGGTCCTGAAGAGTGTCACACTGGAGGGCACATCACTTTCAGACATAGTATAGGTCCTGAAGGGTGTCACATTAGAGGGCACATCACTTTCAGACACAGTATAGGTCCTGAAGGGTGTCACACTGGAAGGTACATCACTGCCAGACACAGTATCGGTCATGAATGGTGACACACTGGAGGGTACATCACTTTCAGACACAATATAGGTTCTCTGCGGTGTCACAATGGAGGTTGTTCCAGTTCCAGACATAGTATAGGTTCTGTAGGGTGACACACTCAACGTTGTGTCAGTTCCAGATACAGCAGCGGTTCCGTAGGGTGTCACTCTGGAGGCTGTGTCAGTTCCAGACACAGTAGAAGTTCTGTATGGTGTCACACTGGAGCTGGTGTCAGTTCCAGACACAGTAGAGGTTCTGTAGGGTGTCACACTGGAGCTTGTGTTGGTTCTAGAATCAATGTAGGTTCTGTGTCCTGGCTTTCCCCAGCTTGCTGTAATAAGCAAAAGAATAAAAAACTAATCAAGAGAGAATCTACACTTGCTGTTACATACCTCCCACAAGCCTATGTATTTGTCCTCACAACAACTGTTTCCTCGTTGCTTTAATTGCTTGTGTGAAACACACTGCACGTAATTATTGTATGTTAATCTGTCATAGAGAAAGGACTTGAGCCCAAGCATAGTGCCCTTGGAAATCTCGGACTAACACTTTATTTGAAGTGCTGCATATATTTACTTCTTTACTTAGAGACATATTTTACTGCTAATTCTGATAATTCCATAGCTGTGTTTATTTAATCTAGGAGGCAAACTTTTTCTAGATTCTCCTTAACAACAGCAATAATCCTGGTGTTATTTACAATATCCCTTTCTCCTCGAAAAAGTGTCTCATAACATTTCTGTTAATACTAGATGCAATGCTCCATTATTACTACAAGAGAGTCTTGTTTTTGCCTACAGAATCTGTGCAGCATGAAGGGAGGTG